AATGAACGTATCGGAGCATTGAACTGATCCTAATAATCAAATAGCCATTTTTATTCCGACGATGTTGAACGTCTTTCAAGAATTCCCGGCTCCGAAAGCCAGGCCCACGTTTTAATCTCACCGAGATTACAACTTTATTGAATTACTCATCCTTTATTGAAAAAGAATAGAACGGTATGAATTTTATGAATGCTAAAACTCTTTCACCATTAAAAAAAAGCGGGTGCTTTCCATATAAGAAATTTGCAGTTGTGAATTTCGACAACCGACTAATTTAAATTTGACTCGAATAAAGGGAGCTCTTTAATTGGCGCTTAACATTCGGAAGGAATTCATGCAACTATCGGGAATACAATGTTTAATAACCGTGAAAGTCAAGATTAGAATTAATATTCATAGGGTCCTCCTTACATTTGCTAGTATTTTTATAGAGAAATCTGGCGAGTCGAGTTCGAATTTCGACAGAAAGCTTTACATTCATTTTTGCACATCAGTCAGTTATATATCATGCGTGATACAAGCTTAGGTGATCATGTATGTTTCGATACATGACTGACGAGGCAGATTTTTTTTTCTGCTGTATGTTGCCATTTCTTTCTGCGGTAGACCAGTTTCCATCAAAGGCTATAGAATCTGGTCTGTCCTGCTAATTGGAATAAAAGGATTCATACATTGAATACGTAAGTGAATATAATGGATTCGACTGGATTCGAACTGGGCTCTCCGATTCCTTAATTCGAGCCACTATCGATTATTCCACCGTATTTGTGAAAATTATGTTTCTGTCTCTTCTTCATCATCTATCAGTTAAATAGAAGAGCACACCAAGAGCTCTAAAATTTGTTTAGTAACCAGTTTAAGAGAACGAAAAATTTAAATTACAAAAAAAAAAAAAAAGACTAAAAAGACAGAGGCAGATTTATCTCATTTCAGTTTACATAAACAGGTTCTATTTCCTGCCATTACCTATAGACTATTAATAGTTATATTAAAGGCAGAGAGGTAAAAATAAACACGCTATTAAAAACAATACATACATTTATTTTAGCGATAAACACTACGTATATTTTCTAGAAATGACACGAATAAATCATTAGAATATTTTCTCATCATCTTCCAGCAAAAATGATCAAGATGTGACTGGAACATCTGACTAGCAACATCTCGCATTTTCACCTCGGGAATCAACGTTTCAGTATCCAACCACGGTCGATCAATTACCTGAGCGTGTGTGCCTGTAGCTGGATCCACATGATGTCGCTGGTGATTCAGTTTTGAATGTTGGTATGGGGACGGGCACGGTAGACCTTTGTGCTGTACCTGGGTAGACAACATATTGAGGTAGACATCACGCTATAGTAACACTAACTTAGCATTGGTTTATTTTGTCAATTATTCTCTTGCGCTAAACGAACTGAAAATGAAAAAAAAAAAAAAACATTTTTTTTTTTATTGTAAGTCGTTAATAACTTGGTCGCTCACTAATCAGAGTCAAGTGTAAGAAGACAGTCATCCACATTATCAATCTATATGACTATTTATCGTGTAAGACAATTCTTCAAATCTGATCTTCAATAAAGATACTGCTCTTATTTAGTACAGATAATTAGTGTCATGGCCATCTTTAAATAGTAGAGAGACTGCATTGATGAACGTCATTCAAAATCTTATTTGTAACTGGCCCACGGTACTGAGCTATAATGCTGTTAGATAATAATTTTTTTTTTATTGTGCCTGGTCAGTACTGAGATTACTAACGACTTAGTAACAGCAGATGCTGTACACTGGATGTGCGGGTGGTGTTATGGATAATGGCTTGGATTTGTTAATCAGAGAGCCGAGTTCCAATTCAATTTATGTTAGTTATATTAACTCACGCACAAATACCCTTCGAAAGGTATGAAGCCGCCACATTTACCCACCCCAACTATAGTTTAATTAGTAAGACGTATCAGGGAATCATTGTTATCTCAAAAAAATTTACAATCTCAAAATCTTTTCTGCCTTTAAATAACCTGCACAGAAGCGGCAACTGTAGAAAATGAATGAATGATTCATATGAATTTTTTGTACAACAATGTCCACATTGTACAAGGCTCAAGAGCCATTGTAGATAAAGGGTGAGAAAGTAAGAGGCTCATTTTATTGGGATATATTGGTTAGGATTGTAGTGATTGGGGAAGCATCATCTTGGGAGTCGGTTTCATAAATCAAAAGTAGGAAGAAGCTGCCGGATTTTTATTCGATATTTAAAATAAAATAATATTTCCCCATTTATTTTAAATTTAAAATAAATATACCACCTATTTTAAATGCAATATATATATATATATATATACATATATATATATATAAATTAAAAACCTGTAATCCTAGTATAATGTATGGGCTGCTTCAGCTTTGCGTTAACCATATATTTTTATTAAAATTTTGTAATGACCAGTCTCTTCCAAGCAACTGAAGAATGCGTTGTGCATGAAACTCCGATTCTTGCTACTGACGACGGCTTATATATATATATATATATATATATATATATATATATATATATATTGAGGAATCGGAGGGCGCGAGTTCGAATTCTAGTCGAATGCATTACATTCACTTACGTGCTAATACCCTTGGGAAATGTATTAATGCTCTTCTTCTCCCTCTAGCCAGAGGTAAAGAGAAGGACAGACTAGGTACTCCAGCCTTGACTGGCAACTGGTCTAGGAGAAGAACTACTCTGAATTCAAAACCTGCGGAGGGTCGTTTGGGGATCTTGTGACACATAGTGCACCAGGTCTTTTTATTCGGCCCTTCAAAAAGTGTAGTGAGTTCTGCACAAATCCTTCACCGCTATAATCAAATCGTACGTGCTAGTGTCTGAGCTGTTTGTTCCTAGGAACTGAGCTGCTCGACCCTCATACATCGAATACGACAGGAGAGTCCACCATATATATATAAATTTTCGGTACACTTCTGATCTTTGAATTTCAACATACAAATGCGAAGGTATAGAGACAACACCACCTATATACATACAGATGTCAAATCCCATACTTTCCACATATGTCTATGTCTGTATGAGCCCCGGCGGACGAGTGAGTGTGTATGTGTATCTGCGTACCTCATTGGGTGTACGGACATGCATCTATATGACATCACAACGACGATCCCCCCCCCGCACTCCCATAATACACCAATACAAGCAATCTACATAAACCCAAAATTAAAAAAAAATTAATCAGGTTGTCTGACGATCGCAAAAGCGTGAAATCCAGGATCACAAACTCACATCAATCCAAATAAATATGTTAGCTCTATCTCTGATATTGAGCGCTTTCTAATAAGTAACGCACATATAATATATAAATAATTATATATATATATATATATATATATATATATATATATATATATATATATATATACAGTGTAACCCGGATATAAGAGAGTTATCAGGACTGGAGAAGAAGTCTCTTATATCCGGGTTTGGTCTAATTATATACATTAACACAGGCTCTAATTTGGCACCTGAGAAAATCTCTCTTATATCCGGGTTTCTCTTGTATCCGGGTCTCTTATATCCGTTACACTGTGTATATATATATATATATATATATATATATATATATATATATATATATATAAAACACTTTTCACATATAGATATAGATATGTATATATGTGTAAATATATACATGCCTCGACAACCAGATCAATATATACAAAAAATGAAGAGCTATAAATGAAAACTGAGAAACATACGGCAATGATTTTAATGCGTTATGAGGAAAATAAATATAAAATCATTTGAGATCTAGAAAGCTCATTTGCAAGCTCAGAATAAGAAAGTCTGTAAAAGTGAAATAATTTGAAAATATTTAATTAATACAGACGACAGAGAAATAAACACGTCAACTTTATGTAAACTTTTATTAACATTATTGTGCTTGTGATATTTACATCAGGATATTCTGAGAGAAGAAAGGATAATTACTTATAAACTTACGACCAAGAACCGTAAAACGGTAAAAAAAATATTTTTATTACGAAATTTGAAAATGATGTAAATATGGGATATCTGGGATCTCCCTGAATGGCCAGTATGGCATAAGATGACAAAATTTTCAAATATTGGATATATCCAGTATATAAGTTGCGTCTGGCAACACTAACCTATGGCCAAAGTCTTTTTAGAAATCTTTTCTGGAAATCTCTCTTTTTGTTTTACCATACTTAACAAACCTCCGTTTAAAAAATGGTGTGCAAAATCTTTTGTTGTTTTCATCCATTTACAGTTTTGCTCCTGTTTTGTTTTTCTTTTCACAAAGATCTAAGATCAAAATGAAATCTATAGATTAATGAAATTTAATTTTTATAATATTTTAATATTTTAAGCTGGCAAAAATCTGTTTTATTATTTTAAGTGACGGCCAAATCTGAATTAAATGATAAATTATTATTTTATTTTCTATGTAAGTAAACGGCGATGAATCTGACGGAGAACAAAATCTCATTATTGGAAGATATCAAATTTTACTTGAATTTATGTAATGCGTATTTTTTGTTTTGTTTTAAGAGAACATAACATGATATTATATAAAAGTAAAAATTCGATCGTTTCTCAGGAAAAAAAATAACTGTAACAGAAGATGAGAAAATAATTTTTACTTTTAAGTTTTTTTTGTTTTTTTTTAATATCGTACAAAATTTATGACGTGAAATATGTTTTGAGATTGCAAAATCAATATTAAGAAAATCGAACGTCCTTTTTTAACCCACTCATTGATTATGTCATTGTGTATATGAGTCGGTGAATATTTGCTGACTAAATAAAGCTCATCAACTCACAAAATTATGATTTGTCTAATCAATTCACTCTCTAAATTACTCTTTTTAATATATCACAGTGACTCGCTCACGCATTTCCTCATTTACTCAAGAAACAACTACGTCTTTAAATAATTCAACGATTTTTTTACTATCCTCCCTCTATCACTATCGAAACAAAGCTTTCATTAAACAATTCAATTTGTCGTTCCTTCTTTCATTCATTAACTGACTCACGAAACAACTCTTTCTTTAAACAATTCGACCTTTCTTTCTTTCCTTCTTTCTTGCTTTCTTTTTTCGTTTTCTTTCTTTCTTTCTCTTTCTTTCTTTCACTCACTCAGTTGCTCCATCAGTCTCGAAACAACTCTTTCTTTAAACAATTCGACCTTTCTTTCTTTCTGTCTTCATTTTCTTTCCTTCTTTCTTTCTTTCTTTTTCGTTTTCTTTCTTTCTTTCTTTCTTTCTTTCTTTCACTCACTCAGTTGCTCCCTCAGTCGCGAAACAACTCTTTCTTTAAACAATTCGACCTTTCTTTCTTTCTTTCTGTCTTCATTTTCTTTCCTTCTTTCTTTCTTTCTTTTTCGTTTTCTTTCTTTCTTTCTTTATTTATTTATTTTAATTTCTTTCTTTCTTTCTTCATTTTCTTTCTTTCTTTCTTTCTTTCTTTGTTTTAATTTCTTTCTTTCTTTCTTCATTTTCTTTCTTTCTTTATTTATTTATTTATTTTAATTTCTTTCTTTCTTTCTTTCTTCATTTTCTTTCTTTCTTTATTTATTTATTTATTTTAATTTCTTTCTTTCTTTCTTCATTTTCTTTCTTTCTTTCTTTCTTTCTTTGCTTTAATTTCTTTCTTTCTTTCTTCATTTTCTTTCTTTCTTTCTTTCTTTCACTCACTCAGTTGCTCATTCAGTCGCGAAACAACTCTTTCTTTAAACGATTCGACCTTTCTTTCTTTCTTTCTTCAGTTTCTTTCTTTCTTTCATTCTTTCATTCTTTCTGTCACTCACTCAGTTGCTCACTAACCATTTCTTGAAACAGTTCCACCATTTTTTTTGCCACTCACTTATGAAACAACGATTCAAAAATTCTTTCTCTCAGTCACTCCCTCATTCGCTCTATCACAATTCTTTGACTCATTCATAAACACACTCTTTCTTTCACGTGCTGACATTTCAAAAATTAAAAACAATATTTTTGAAACTCAATTTTAGAATAATCTCCAGTGTAATCCACGCTTTCAATCATATTATTTATATTTAGGTTTTATTCCATTAAAAATATACATTTTTGTTAGGAATGTTAATTAATTTACGTTTTGTATTCATTAATATAGTTCAATAATCATTTAATGCGAGAATTTCTCTCTCCGTGCAGAGTTGAATTCTATCGCCATATTGTTTCTATCTACAAAGACACCATCATCGATACTGAGCAAGCTTACACGATATGCATTTTACAAAATATACATACATACTTATAATAATAATAATAATAATAATAACTGGCCATTCGTATTCGAGGATACGCATTTCTTAGGGAGGCTAGCCAATCCCTATTGCAGACACTCGCTCAGGGATATTTGTGTTTGTTCAACCTCCACCGCGGCAATCTGTGGTTTATACTGCAGCTATGCTGCGCAGACCGTGGTTAGAGCGTGTTATCTAGAATGATCAACACTCTGAACAACACCAGCACAATCAGAGCCTCGGTCACGATGACTTTTGACTTCGTGCTAGCAAATCTATCGACGGCCCCAATTATTCTCTCTACCCAATTTCACTCACAAGGCTATATCACGCGTGTATACACAAAACACACGCATACACACACACACACACACACACACACACACACATATATATATATATATATAAGTATATGAATAAAAAAAAATTAAGATATAAAGTTATAATTAGCCGAGCCGTTTAATCCGCCAATGGACTTTATTAATGCAATATAAGATTTATTATGTTGCACGTGTTTATATAAGGAGGCTATGGATGTCATTGGTTTATCAAGGCTTATAAATTTGGGAAAGTTCAAAATGTTTATCAGGTGGTTGAAAGGTCAGTGATAAGCATGTGGAAAACACAGAGTATCATAATTCAGTGCCTGGTAAAAAGTAAAGTGTGCGAGTCATATTCAGTAATTGATTTTTATTTATTACTCGCCTACGTTACTTCTCACCAGACTTTGAATAATAGGACTTTTGACTGACCTTCTTAAGGTTCGTGGTTATAACGTTATAAGTAATAGCACTTTCTTTTCACAGATTCTCGTGATGAAAATAAACCAAATATAATGAGTAAACTCGTGTTGCTAGACGTGTGAACAAATCTGATATCTGTATGAAATAAATATTGGAATCTCCGGGCAGAGTTGAATTCTATTGATATACTGCTTATACTATATATATATATATATATATATATATATATATATATATATATATATATATATATATATATACATAAAAGTTTAATTGTCAGAGTTGAATCAGACCAGGAAACAAAAGTCTTCAATATACTTGTGAAAAATAAAATGAGAGTAAAACTAACATGCAGAGCATTTAACTTTAAAATTCAGTAGGTCAATTGAATTCACTTTCTTAACGGACCTCTTAAGGCTTTATTTAAAAAAAAAAAAAAAAAACAAACAAAAAAAACAACTAATGGACTCTATATTGTTATTTACAAAATAAATAAACAACCGCACGACGTTATGTGGGAGGAGGAGGACAAGAAGAAGAAGAAGAAGGAGGAGGAGAAGGAGGAGAAGGAGGAGGAGGATTGGGGAAAAAAGCAAGAGTATTGTAAATGTATCTTTGGGTGGTAATCGAAATGTACATAACATTTTTTATAGCTTTCTTTTCAAATAAAGCGTGAAGAGGCCATTTGATAAAAATCGCCTGAGGATAACGTAAAGGCTGAAACTAAGGTAGCTGATTCAACTGACTTCTTAATTTTTAAAGTATATACATATATATATATATATATATATATATATATGTGTGTGTGTATATATATTATATATATATATTATAATATTTTTTTTGTTTAAAAATATGATTCCTTCGCTACATAAGAGTTCTCATGTTTTCAAAAACGATTCAATCCTCCCGACACATGGCGAATTGTAGGCGCGCCATAAAAATATCCCTCACTGAGAACTAACTAGAGGATAACCGCCAACATTAGCCTTGAAATAGATACCCTACCCAACCTGAGCAAAACCTCTCAGAAGATGATGAATCTATAGATAAGAATTAACACTCTGACCACTTAACCAAGATGACTCGCCTAGCCACTCCCACAATAACGAATCTTATAACGAACCATGCTTAGAAACACACGTAAACCAAGAGATAGCTTATTCCTAAAATTTCGCTTGAAAATGAAACGGGACTAAACACCTTAATTCAACTTAATTTTAATAATTATTTGGATTGTTTTGTCTCTCGTTTTTGAAGCATGAGAACTCTTATGTAGCAAAGGAATCATATTTTTAAACAAAAAAATATTATAATATAAGCTCTACTTCTGTATGGAGCACTGTCTTCTTAAAAATAAAAACAAAAATACTAAGGAACTTCGGATTATGCACCCAACGTGTTCTTTTCTATTTTCTGCATACCTGCGCACTTATATATATATATATATATATATATATATATGATAGAAATTATTAGGAGGATTTGATATAAGCATAATTGATTAATCGAGTCTAGAAGAAACCTCAAAGAAAGCACTGGACACTGGACAGCCGTTTCGTCCTATACTTGAGACTCATTTGCAGTGCGTATCCACTACCAAGAATTGAAATCCGAATAACTACGTTATCAGGCAACGTCATCAAGAAGAGTTGAAATTAAGAAGAGTTGAAATTAATGTAATGCAAGATTTGGCAAATCTAGCATTATTGCTTCCTAGTGAGTCTATGAACTTTTCTGTCTTCTCTCGCACTTTGTAGCGCAATTCTTAGTACTTTTGTTCTTTCCCTTTCGCTCATAGGCTTGCAAAAGACATTCTATCATAAAAAGGTTTAGCGCTAAATTTGAATTAAATGAAGAGACATTAGTCGATTAAAACGACAACTTCACTAATATGCTTTGACATTTAAAACTAAAATCGATGAGGTATTTATTTTGTATTATGAATAAATATAATGCTGGCAGAATGTGTATCACAACTGAAACGAACGGAGTCTAATTCACTTTAGAGAAACGATTTGGATGTTGTTAGTAAAATTGTAGACGAAACTCAAGCATAAAACGAAGTAAGACAAGAATCCACATGCCGAAAACTAATGAGAGTCAATAAAATGTTGTTGGATAAACAGGCAGAAATGGCGTATCGGAGAAAGATGGAAGATATAACTCTTTGGAGGGGTTATAACCGGTGCCCGCGTATATATAAAAAATGTTTCGAACGGTGGAACAGAGCTATTCTGCGCGCCTAGAGGATAGATTCATTACTGGTAAATAAATATTACAAAGAAAATGATGCCCGGATGAACATAAAAAAACTGGAAAGATAAAATTGCCATTAAAATCCGCGGAATCTAAGGATATCAGAAAATTCTGGCAAATCAGGAAAGCAAATGTTTGGTAATTTAAATAAGTTAAAAAAAATTTGAAGAGCTATGTGTGTATTCTTATACATTTTCAAACTTTTGGCGTATCACTCTTCTTTCTAACCTCTGTTTGTAGCTTACACACACATACAGACACAGAGACAGACAGACACGCACACAGACAGACAGACAAACAGATAGATAGATAGATAGATAGATAAATAGATAGATAGATAGATAGATGTGAACAGACCGACATAGATAATATGAACAGATCGAGATAGATAGATAGATAGATAGATAGATAGATATTGAACATTCTGAGATATATTGATTTTTTTTACGCAAATCGCTTCAAGCAAGGATAAGAAAAGATAAGATAGATAGATAGATAGGTAGATAGATAGATAGATAGATGTGAACAGACTGGGGTTGATAGATAGATAGATAGATAGATAGATGTGAACAGACCAACATAGATAATATGAACAGATCGAGATAGATAGATAGATAGATAGATAGATGTGAACAGACCGACGTAGATAATATGAACAGATCGAGATAGATAGATAGATAGATAGATAGATGTGAACAGACCGACATAGATAATATGAACAGATCGAGATAGATAGATAGATAGATAGATAGATAGATAATTTACATTTAATGAAAGGTAATGCCCCATATAAAAGACCATTTCACTTCCTAAAGAAAAATTCCTTCCCGGAGATTTTCAAAACGAAAAGTTTTTTAAGATAAAATCAAATCAAAGTGTAGCTTGTAGATTTAATAACTTTAAAGAAGCGGGAAAACAAAACGAAGAAGTAAGAGAAAAAAAGAGAACAAGAAAAAGATAAGAGAAAAAAAGAGAACAAATAAAAGGTAAAGGTAAGAGAAAGAGTAAAAAGGAATAGAAAAGGTAAGAGAAAGAGTAAAAGGAGAAACTTAGAGATTTTTTTTTCTTTTTACTCCCTTTTAATTGTTTTCTGTAAATATTATTACTATTTCTCTTACTATATTATTTCCAAAAAGACTAAAAATTATAGAAGCATTAATAATAAAAACGCAAAAGCCAATACACAATAACATCAACTATGAACACGGCCGCAATGTTCTGACCCCCTTTCTAGAGTTAAAATAATTTAATCTTACTTATTATAAAACGCAGATTGTGTGTGTGTGTACGTTTATATATTGGATCGGATTTCCTATATTTTTTAACCGATTTCAACAAAACTACACAGGACTACGTGAAATTACCTTGCGGTGGTTCTGACAGCGCCAAATATTGGAAAAACACAATTGTTTTTGCACGAAATCAATTTGAAAACACGATTAAGAGGCATCACGAGAATGAAAGGGGGACAACTCATGTCGAGTTATACTTATTATAAAACCCAGTTTGTTTTTGTGTGTGTATGTTCCTTTATATATGTGATCGGATTTTCTACATTTTTCAACCAATTTCAACAAAACATCACCTTTTTTTGGTAGGTAGCGTTTCTTATTGTCTTGCACACTTTTACCTTTATTTTTACATTCAGAATGCTTTAAAAATTCCATTTACAAGA